GAGGGTGGCTACGGGGGCTGCTTGTGTTATTGAAAATAAAATACACCACACTTCCCAACCCCCCTTGACTCTTTCATTGTCTGCCTGAACCCATTCCTGCCTGCATGTCTTTTTTGAATCTATTTTTTTCTAATACACACATTTGTGCTCAATGTGGAAGACCGAAAATACTAAAGTGTAAAAAACCCGCCTGCAATCGCACCACCCAGATCTCAGCACAGCAGCACTTTGGTCCGTTTGCTCCTGGTGTTTTTACTGTGCCTGCAGACTCGGTTGACATGCTGGAACTCGTACCACACGTGCTGTCTGGCTTGAGTGTGTTTCTGTAATTCTGTGAAAAAGCAATGTTAACTATTCCTGCCTATGAGATTTTTCTCTTCTTTGAACAGTCTCTTTTTGGATCTCGGACCAGGTTAATTTTCCCCAACGTTCCCCAAAGGGTCCTTTTGCAGGCTTTTGTGGGATCCGTGTGTGAGGGCTGAGCCTGTTGTAATGGGGATCACGGCTGCCTGGAGCCCATAGGGTACCTTTGTGTAAACTGGGAACAGGCGACCCTTGTTAAATACATTGTACTGCCATCTGCTGGGAACCTGTTACAACAAACCTACAGGCTGTGATGGCTTAGCAGCAGTGCCCTTGTGTGGTGCACGACTTGCAGAGCAATGCCTGGCCTGGTGGGCTACCCTTTAACTCTTCCTTTCTGCTCCCTTTTCTCCAGGGTCCTCTATGGGAACAAGATCACAGACCTCCCCCGGGGTGTGTTTGGAGGCCTGTACACCCTACAGCTCCTGTAAGGACCCCTCCGAGAGTGTGCTTGGGTGGGGCCCCGGGAAGGAGCCACTATTCCTTTGGCCTCTCAGACTGGCCTTTTTGCCCTCTTTGAGGTTGGGTGCGGGGGGCGTTCATTTGAGGTAAAGAGCCTGGAGGAAGTCAGACCTGGTAGGGTGAGAGGTTATAGAGCTCTGCAGAGGCAACTCAGAGCTGACAGCAAAGTGCCTGAGCTGAGAGGCTGATGCGATGCATGAGGCCCGTGTTCCTGAGGAGCTCAGCATGGCTGGGAAAAGAGCTGTGTCCTGCAGGGGGACACCCAGGCCCAGCTCAGCCTCCTTGAACTGAGAGAGTTCAAGCAAGGGTTATCTCCTTGCTTCAGATCCAAGAGGCATAGAACCATACGCTCCATCTCAGCTGCCTGGGGAAACCAGCAGAACTCTGGGAAAGAGGAGGAGCCTCCCCAAATGTCTTTGGGAGGTGGCTTTGCTACTGTGCTCTCTGCTTTCTGAGAATCCCGTGGGGCACCTCTAGCAGTTCTTTGAAAGAGAGGAGAGGGTGGCTAAAATGGTCCCGGTGCACAGAGAAGGCAGTCGGAGGTCTCAGCTGCTCTGTGTGGAGTGGACAGCCAAAGTGCCGGATGCCCTAGGAAGGTGCCAGGACGTGTGGATGGGTCCGATGCTGTGCCTCTCCCCTTACCACCTGGCCCTGGCTTTGCCCACAGGCTCCTGAACGCCAACAAGATCAACTGCATCCGGCCCGACGCCTTCCAGGACCTGCAGAACCTCTCGCTTCTCTCCCTGTACGACAACAAGATCCAGAGTCTCGCCAAGGGCACTTTCACCTCCCTGCGGGCCATCCAGACCCTGTGAGTGCCCTCTGCCCCCTTCTCTCTGTCCCAGCAGGTGGACCTATGGACCTAGGGGAGGTAACAGCCTCCAGGTACTAGTGACTGTCTTGCCCTGTGCCTTTTGCTCTTATGGAAGAAAGAACACGGTCTCTGGGTTAGATGAACATGAGTTTGAATCCCAGCTATGCTTCTTATTGGCTATGTGACCCTGGGCAAGTTAATTTGCTTCTCTAGACCTCAGTTTATTCATTCATAAAATGAGGATATCATCTTCTCCATAAGGTTGTCATGAGACTAAGGGGGATATTTGTACAGAGCTTAGCTCATCGTAAATGCTTCTTAAATGCTGGCTGCAGTTGTTATTATTATTATTAGATAGGTTAAAAACAACTTAAGTGATATATCAACCAATACCAGCTAATTATTATTATTATTATTATTATTAGATTCTAAGACGCATGTTGTTTACACGTTAACAGCTCTGAAATTGGGATGCATATTATAAACGATGGCATATTTACTTGGCATCATTTTGTTTTTTCTTGATAATGCATAAAATAATAATGTGTCTTGCAATTGATAATGTCTTAAGTCAGAGGAAATCTAGTAATAGCAATGATGGCTACAAATTAAAAACTAGAGAGCAACAGCTCTAGGAATTTGTTTTAATCTTTTATTATAGAATATTACAAGCATATTAAAAGTAGCATAGTGACCCTCCCAGTACTCATCACCCAGCTTTAACTCATGGCTGGTCTTATTCCATCTATACTTCCTCCTCTCCCATGCCTCCCAGACTATTTCGAGGTAAATCCCAGACATCATTTATCATCTACGTAGACCTCATACATATTTATAAAAGGCAAAGATTCTTTAAAGACAGAACCATAACACTATTATTATATCTAAAAATTTAACAGTGAATTCCTTAATATCATCAAGTATCTAATTACTGTTTGAATTTCCAAGTGTCTCATACATTTTATACAATTTTTAAAATAATTCATTTGAGTCAGAATTTAAATTAGGCCTATGCAATTCATTGGAGTCAGAATTTAAATTTGGCTGGTATTGGTTGATGTATTGTATTACTTAAATTGTTTTTAATCTCTAGGTGACCTCTCCATCTCCTTCTTCCTTGCAATTCATTTGTTGAAGGCACTGCGTTATTGGTTTCCCCAGCTGGGACTTTCCTGATTGCGTTCGGGGAATGTGGTGTAGTTTTACACACTCTCCTGTCCTATCTCTGTCCTGCAACAGAACTGTTGATCTAGGAGCTTGGTCGGGTTCCGACTTTTTTCCTTTCTGTTTTTGGCAAGATGACTTCATAGGTAGGATTGTGTACTGCCATCCGGAGGCACACAATGTCTGGTTGTCTCTTTTTATGTAATGAACACAGCCATTGATCTCAATGCCTGGACCCATTCATTCATTATGGGTCTGGAAATGGTGATATTTGAATTCTAACATTCCTTCTTCCTTTGATAATGCTGTTGTGGTCATGCTATAAAAAAGAGTCCTTACCTTTTAGCTGGAATGCTTCTGTAGAAGGAAATTTCCTGTCATCTACTATTCTGTTCAATTTAGGCAATTACATGGTGTCTTTTATTCTACATCTTTACTTCTGGGACCTGTAGTTGGACTCGATAGGCTAACCTGTGGGTCCTGTGATGTGTCCTTGAAGGGCATTTATTATTAATCAGTATTAATATTGTGGCCATTGTTGTTGTTGCCATCCCTGCCACACTGTTTATCTGCTGGGCAGTGCTCTCCGTCAGATAATATCCGCATAGAGTGCTGGGTTAGGTGCAAAACAGGACGGGTAGAAGGTACAGCTCCTGCTCCCTGGGGACCCTGCACGTCAGTGGGGGTGTCAGCCACAAAGACAAACTCATTAAAGCCCACCCGCCTGCGGCCTGCTCCTGCTAATTAATTTACTTATAGCTAGAGAGAGGAAGATGGAGCACCACCGGGAAATCCTGCCAAGTATGTGAAATTGGAGGTTACAGGCAGACATGGGCAAGGTGGGGTATTTTACAGTCAGCAGAACATCCGACAGAAACGCACTAAGGAGATTTCAAGGCCGGGGACTCATGCACAGGAAAGCCTGGGGGTGGGGATGGCACTGGGGGTCTCATGTGAGGAACATATTCCTCTCAAGGTGGAAAGAGAGGGAATAAATCACATGGATGTGCTCACCGAGGGTGGCCTCTGTGTCCATTTACCTGGCTGGAATGGATTTCTTAGAGTGCTTCTGCTTTCCAGACACCGTACCTGAGATCTTGGCCTCTGCTACCAGGGCAGAGCTGGAGCAGAAGGCTAGAACAGGAAGGTTTCCCATAGATGGGATATAATACATATACTATATGTTAAATATTAAATATACAGTAGCTAATAAATAGTAGCAATACTGATAACAATAGTCACCTCTGCTTATTGAGCCCTTGTTCAATGCCAGGCCACTGTTCTTTACATGTATTGTCTTATTTAAAACTTAATTGACCTAGGGAGGTAGGTTCTATCATCCCTAACTTTACTTATAAAGAAACTGAGGCAGAAAGAGCTTACATGACTCATCCAAGGTCACACAACATCTAGGAAAGCAGGGACTTGGTCCCAGGCATCTCTTCAGCATCACTGAGAAAGTAGTTAGCTTCTTCCACAATTATAAGAATAGACCTCATTATTTAAGGCTGTAAAACAAAACTGAATTTTCATGAACAATTATTAACCTATTAACAACTAAAGTGCAATTTGGAACAAAAATCAAAGAAACGCAAATCCAAGTTGCAATCAGATATGCTTATTTCAGCTTCAGATGGTAAAACCCCTAGACTGAATCTTACATTAACCTGAGTAGATTTAAACTCACCAGATCTTGCTTGATTTGTTCATAACTCCAAGACTGACTGCCTTATGTCACAGTACTGATTTTGCTGCTGTTTTACTTGCCCCAAAAGACTAAAAATAGTATTTTTGATCTCGGAAGCTAAGCAGGGTCGGGCCTGGTTAGTACTTGGATGGGAGACCACCTAGGAAGACCAGGTGCTATAGGAGTAAACAATAAAAACATAAGGGGTTGTAAACTGACAAGGTCCTTGCAGTCTGTGCGGTCAACCAAGGTTTGCCTTGCCTAAAAAAAAAATTTTTTTTGGTAGAAGAGGGTAAAAGGAGGGTTCCAAAAAATTGTTCAAACAGCTTTAATGGGGTACAACTTACATACCATAAAATACACCTATTCTAAGTGTACAATTCAATAATTTTTAGACAATTTGCAATTATTCAGTTCTCGCTACAATACCAATTTTAGAACATTTCCATCAGTCCTCCAAAATCTCTTGTGCCCACTTACAATCAATTCCTATTTCCAGCCTGCCCCCGGGCAACCAGAAATCTAATTTCTGTTTCTACAGACTTACCTTTTCTGGACATTTCATAAAAATGGAATCATACACTATATCATTTTTTTTGTGACTGATTTCTTTTGCTTAGCATGATGCTTTTCAGGTCCATATTGCAGTATATATCACAACTTTGTCTCTTTATTGCCAAATAATTTATCATCGTGTAGATAGAGCACATTTTGTTTATCCATTCTAGTTGATGGACATTTGTACTTTACTTGGGACCATTATGAATAACGCTGCTGTTATGAATATTCGTTTACAAATCTTCGTATGGACAAACGTTTTCATTTCTCTTGGAATTTCTGGGTCACATGGGAAATGAATATTCGCTTACAAATCTTCGTATGGACAAACGTTTTCATTTCTCTTGGAATTTCTGGGTCACATGGGAAATTTATGTTTAACTTTTTAAGAAACTACCACTGTTTTCCAAACTGGCTGCACTGTTTTATATTCCCAACAGTAACGTATTATGAGGGTTCCAATTTCTCTACATCCTTTCCAATGTGTTGTCTTTTTGATCATAGTGGGTATAAAGTGGTGCCTCGGTGTGCGTTTAATTTGACCAACGATGTTGAGCATCTGCCCCCAAAGATTTTTAGTTGTGCTTTTTAATGCATCTTCCAAGAGAGACGCCGAGAATCGATCTTTTCTTACCTCCACTGTCATAAATGTTCACGGGGACAGCTGCATGGCCACACGTGGTTGTTTGTCTTTTTGATCATAGTGGGTATAAAGTGGTACCTCGGTGTGTGTTTAATTTGACCAACGATGTTGAGCATCTGCCCCCAAAGATTTTTAGTTGTGCTTTTTAATGCATCTTCCAAGAGAGACGCCGAGAATCGATCTTTTCTTACCTCCACTGTCATAAATGTTCACGGGGACAGCTGCATGGCCACACGTGCAGCACGCTTCTGGGTGAGCTTGTAATATGATTGACTTTTCCCAAACAGATTATTTTTCTTCCTCCTGTGTATTTTCCCTCCCCAGCTCCCTGTGCTTTGCAAAATTTGAATTTTGTTTAGAATTTAGGATTTTGTGAAACATTCTAATTTGTGTCAAATACTTAGTTTCTACAGAGGCCACTTGTCTCTGTGGGCGGTTCACGTTTTATAGTCGGTTTGACATAAATAGCCTGTTCTTAAAAGGGATGTATTCTACTCAGCACCCCTTGAACATTTTAATACGTGCCTAAACAACATAATTGAATTAATTTTAAACAGAGTTTTCTACCAAGATTGTGATAAAGGGAAGCAATTAGTTCAGACAGAGGCTAGGCACTAAGGCGCAGACAGATGGGCGGCTGGGAGGATCCAGGAGACGTCCCTGAATCTTAGTGAATTTTAAATTAGCTACAAACTCTGCCATGGGGAGTCAGCAAACATGTTTTCTCGGTGCAAATTGACAGTTTAAACTGGGAAATAAATGCTGAACTGAATGTAGAAAAGGTGGGAGGGGCCTGGCCCGCCTGGTAGAACTGTAAGGAGTCAGGACTCAGGCAGGAAACTGGGGGGTTTGCAAAGTGGGTGGCAGGGACAGCTGAGCAGGGAAGGCTCTGGCCAGAGGCCACAGGGCAGAGCCCAGAGAGAGAGAGAGAGCAGTCAGGGTCCGAGCTGAGCTGGGCAGGATTCCTGCCTCTCCTTAGAGAGCTCTGCAGGCCCAACAGGTGGAGGGCCTGAGGCCAATAAGTAGGTGGTCTAAACTGATGGTAGTCAATGGAAAGTGGCCATAGCATGGTGAGCCTTCAGAGCTGGCCCCTGGTCTCTCTCCCTGTATTTATGTGCGGAAGCATTGGCTCTCAGGTCCGTGTTGGAATATTCTGCCCTGGCTGTCTCGGGCTTGAAAGCAGGGTATGCCTGCAGGGCACGCCCGGTGGCCCAGACACAGGTCAGCCAGCCGGTTGGCTGTTGGGGTGGTTCAGATGTGACTACTTTGAGCCTGCTGGGGCGGTCAGGGCTAATGGCAAAGGCAGCCATGTGGTTGCTCACAGCAACCGGGCCCTCTCAGTCGCATCACCTGTCAGCTGCCCCTCCCTGCATATATCCTGCTGGTAACACAGGCAGCCCAGCAGAATTGGAGTGGTTCCCCAACAAGTAGCTGAGAGATTTAATTGGTGTTAAGAGGCGGCCTATAAAATGGCCAAAGGGCGGCAACCCCTAAGGCCTAGGGTGGGAATGGAGATTCCATGTAAAGCTGAGGGGCTGCAGCAGTCACCTTGAGGTACTTCCGCCCCAGCTGCAGGTCCAGCCTTGCCACCCCTGCCCCAGCCCCTTTCTGAGAGGAGGCTGTGAGACAGAGGCTACTGCTGCCCGAGGCCACAGGAAGGGAACAATGATTCACGATGCCGAGGGGTCCCAAGGCCTCTGAGTGCCCGTTCTGTCACCTCACCTGTGGAAGGATAGAGGTGCTCTGGCCATTCTCCAGGTCATTTCTGCCTCCACTCATGTTTGTGAACTGTCTCAGGCAAAGGAGGAATGGGTGAGTAGAAGGAGACAGGACAGAGGGAGGCTTGAAGCGGGAGTGTGACAGAGACAGCTGAAGCTCCAACGCCTTCAGAGCCCCTTCCCTACTGTGGTGCTGTGGCAAGACTTCTCTGAAGAAAGTGGGTGCACCTGGGTGGTGCCCCCAGGTGGTGTATTTCTCCCCAGAGCTAGCCCCAGCCTTCAGGCAATGAGCCAGCAGCAAGGCTCTGTCAGGGTGGAGGTCAGCTCAAGTTTGCAGCCCTTGCTCTGACCCAGATTTGCCCCCATTGGACAGGCATCTGGCCCAGAACCCTTTCATCTGTGACTGTAACCTCAAGTGGCTGGCGGACTTCCTGCGCACCAACCCCATCGAGACCAGTGGGGCCCGCTGTGCCAGCCCCCGGCGCCTCGCCAACAAGCGCATCGGGCAGATCAAGAGCAAGAAGTTCCGGTGCTCAGGTAGCTGTGGGCCGGCCCCTGTCTGTCTGCAGCCTGATCAGGGATGCTGCGTTGTTTCCTGGATGGCTCCAGCAAGGGTGCCCAAGGCCATGCTGGATCCATGCTAGAGGGTGTCAGCCCCAAATTCTAGGCTTGGATATGAGTGGTATTCAGTCCCACCCCTCGTGTTACTGAGGCTTGGGGAGGGGGAGCTTGCTGAAGGTCTTAAAGGAGGACCATGATAAGCACCCAGGCCCTCTACCCCCAGGCCAGTTCTCTTTCACGCCACCACTTTCAGCCTTTGAAGACACTTGGGAGGCCTGGGACCCCTCTTCAGTGAGACAGGTGCCTCCTCCCGGCTCTGGGGGCAGCAGAAACAACATCTGGCAGGGGCAGCGAGGGGCAGCTTCTGAACCTGGATCCCGGTCAGGGCCTGACACCTCCCTGCCCCATCCCAATATTGTGCCATTGCACATGAGAATTCGATGACTCTGGAGTTACCTGAGACATTTAATTGGTGCAGTGCTGCCCCCACCGTTGGCCTGGGCAAGGAACTTCTGTGCTCTGTGAAGGTCTTCTCCACTGGGGCTGGGCGGATGGGCTCTGGAGCCTCGATTTGGAACCTCAGCCTCGTTCCTGGGGTGCCTTAAGCTGGGCCATGGGGCTGGGGCCTAGGCTCTTCCTGCAAGTCCTACACAATCTCCCCAGCATCATGGCATTTCTGCTTTCCTCCCCAGCCAAAGAACAGTACTTCATTCCAGGTAGGAGAGTGGGGGAATCAAGGCCAGCCTGCGTGGGACAGTGACAGTGGGTGGGCAGGGACTGGGGTGGCAGGCTGAGGGGGACTACGGGACCCTGGGGGGCAAGGCTGCCCAGAGTCTGCCCCGGGGCCCTTATTCCCTGGCCCCTGGCCTCTCACCGCAGGCACGGAGGATTACCAGCTGAACAGTGAATGCAACAGTGACGTGGTCTGTCCCCACAAGTGTCGCTGTGAGGCCAGTGTGGTGGAGTGCTCCGGCCTGAAGCTCACCAAGATCCCTGAGCGCATCCCCCAGTCCACGGCTGAGCTGTGAGGCCCCCAGACCCTTCACACCCTCACCTGCCCCCTGCTCCCGCTAAGCAACCTGGGCCTGCTCCTGGTTTTTCTCTGCCCTGGCTCTATTTTGGGGACCACTGGAGACGCCAGCATGGCAGCTGCTGGCTTTGCAGGAGAGAGGCCCTGCAGCGCCGGGGCCCCTCTACTTCTGACTCACAGCCATACGTGCCCTTGAAGCAATCTCTGGCCCCCAGGGCACGTCGCTGGCCTGAACCAGGGGTGGCTTTTCTCAGTCATGCTTTTGCCGTCTGAGCTAATGATTTCATTAGCTCCAGTTGTGTCCTAAACTATCCTTTAACTATTTTTTTCTCTCTCTAAAACTATAAATTTGTGCACATATATATCCATGTGCATGAATACCTGACATATCTATCACTCATATATGTAAATTTTCATGGCATTTTTCACGTTAAAAATATCCCCATTCATAGCTCCCCCTCCTCCCAACTTCGGCACTTGGCCCAGCATTCCTTTAAAATAGGATCAATTCGCCTTGACAGATAAATTCTTCTGGGAGTCCCCTTTGTTCGAATCCCAAATTATCTCAGTTTGGAAGGTACTTCAATGTCTGTCTCCTATGGATGTGCAAGTTCCCTTCATTGCCTCTTACAGACGATTAAACAACAATGAGATTTCCATCCTGGAGGCCACCGGGGTGTTTAAGAAACTCCCCCATCTGAAGAAAATGTGAGTTACCCAATGGTGGAAAGGTTGTGGTCAGAACGTGGGCCTGGGATGGAGAAGGGAGATACAGGGTGTGGGGGTGCTCCCACGGGGTGGGGGGCTGGACAGGGCTCTTGTGCACGGGGATTAGGTGCAAGAAGTGGGGCCCTGACCTTCGTCACCCTTCCACACCTCCTCTCTCAGCAACCTGAGCAACAACAAGGTGTCAGAAATCGAAGACGGGGCCTTCGAGGGCGCGACCTCTGTGAGCGAGCTGCACCTGACCGCCAACCAGCTGGAGTCCATCCGGAGTAGCATGTTCCGGGGCCTGGACGGCTTGAGGACCCTGTGAGTGTGCGGGCTGGGGAGAGGGGGAACAGCTGGACTGCGGCAGGCGAAAGCCAGGCAGGCAAAAGCCAGAGTGTGGTGTCTGCATTAATAGGAGAGGAAGAGAGGGTAGGAGGTCCCCTCTCCCGGCCCCAGCTTGCAAGAGGAGGGGACAGCCGAGGACCCTGGCTGCAATGGGCCAAGTAATGAGATGTCGGTAACTGTGGTGAGGCTTGCTTTCTTGTCTCCTGAGGTGTGGGGTTGATGTCTGGTAAGGGGATAAAGGGAGGCGGGTCCTTCTGGAGGTCCCCTCTCATTGTCCTGTGGTCAGGTCTCAAGAACATAGCAGATGTGTTCAGTTTAGGAGTGGCTGGCAGTACTGCAGGCAGGAAAGGCTGGATGGCCCCATGGTGGGGACATTGCAGAGGTGACTCAAGTGGGTGAAAATGAGGGAGCAGTGGTGGCCCACAAGTTTTGGGATTCTGGGATCCCATGACCCAAAGCTCAGCCAGAGCTAACTAGATATCAGGACCCCGTAGGACCCTGGGGTCCTCACCGCTTGCGCATGCTCAGTGAGCCACTCTGTGCCCAGGCAGCACTGGCTCTTTAGATGGCCATGTAGACTTTTAGCATGTCTGATAGACTGTGTTGTCCAGGCTTCCTGCAGTGAAAGAAATGCCCATGTCTGCGCTGTCCAGCGTGATAGCCACACGTGGCTACAGAGCACTTGATGTTCGGCCAGTGCTATAGAGGCACTCAATTTTGAATTCCATTTCTTCGTAATTAATTTAAATCTAAATAGCTACATGTGGCTAGTGGTGACAGCTCTGGGAGCCACCTGCCTGGATTTAAAGCCCAGCCCTGCGATAGGGCCATGGATTGGCTTCTGAGCACGTATCGTGGTATTTGTGTAAGGCAAGTAAATGTATGAATTCTCTGTGGATTTTAGTTTGTTTTACAAAAAGGGGATTGTATTATTTGCTGTGTTTTGCAGCTTGCTTTTTCCCTTGTGAATTGCCTAGTCTGTGTCAGGCTTGGTTTTGTTTTTGGTTGGGGAAAGGAATTGAGCCAGGTTTTTAAGGTGAACAGAGAGTTTTGCAGATATGAATGAAGAAGAAGGTCCTACTAGAAAGAAATCGTAGCTGGGGGAAGGTGTGGTGATGCAGGCTCCAGCCGCACACCTGGAGGATAAAGGAGTCTGGGGAGGTGGGAAGGTGCTGGTCTGGGGCCGGGTTGGACCGGCTCCCAAAAGTCATAGAAAAGAGTTTAAACATGATTCTGCGGGCAGTTTGGAAGCCACTGTGGGCTTTAGGCTGGAGAAGGACATGACCGTAGGAAAGCCTCTCGGGTGTTGACCCGGAGTGTGGCCGGGAGGCACTGGGCATCCAGGGAGTGAAGGCGGTGGCCGGCGGGCCGTGTGGGCAGGAGGCAGAGGAGGGCATCTAGAGGCAGGGAGGGTACATGCCGTGGAGCCCGGCGCCAGGGATGCTGGCTGTGCTTCTGCTCCCCGTGGCTCCGCGCCTCTGGGGAAGAATCTGTGAACTGGCCGGTGGCGGCAAAGCACAGCGCAGGCGTTTGGCCGAAGGGTACGGCTTTCTCGTCCTCCCCACCCGCTCCCAGCATGCTGAGGAGCAACCGCGTCAGCTGCATCCACAACGACAGCTTCGCGGGCCTGCGCAACGTCCGCCTCCTCTCGCTTTACGACAACCAGATCGCCACCATCTCCCCCGGAGCCTTCGACACCCTGCAGGCCCTCTCCACGCTGTAAGTCCGGCCGGCGTCAGACAGGCGGGGCTGGGACTCTGGCGCCAGCCATCTGCACCCAGGAACCTCACCCACCTGCGATCTCAAGGGCGTGGCCTTCTCAGTGGGGGCTTTAAAGGACAAACTCGAGGGATGTTGGGTCCCCATGGTTTGTTGATACGTGGGTCCTGTCACATTGGGACAGTGCCTCCTGGTTGGTTGTCTGGGAGAGCGTTGGCGGTCGTGCGGACAGTCCGTGGATGGCAAGAGAGTGCTTTGCTGCGAGACTAGCAGAGTGTCTTCACGGTCACACACCCACGTCTTCCAGGAACCTTCTGGCCAACCCTTTCAACTGCAACTGCCAGCTGGCCTGGCTGGGCGACTGGCTGCGGAAGAGGAAGATCGTGACGGGGAACCCGCGATGCCAGAACCCAGACTTCCTGCGGCAGATTCCCCTGCAGGACGTGGCCTTCCCTGACTTCAGGTGTGAGGAAGGTAACTCGTGCCCGCCCCTCCCCTCCCCCAAACCCCGGGCGGGAGGGGAGAGGGCGAGCTGGGCCAGGCCATGGGCATGCAGAGTAGGCGGGCAATGCCCTGTGACATGCCCCTGAGGGGAGGGAGGCGCTGTTGATGGGGAGGGGGTGAGGAGCAAGGAGGCCCACTCGGTGGTGTCTTTGTGTGATTATAAGTGCAATTATGGCTTATTGTTTTAAAAAGTGGGAAAATATAGATAAAAGGACATAAACATTACCTATTAGCCTGTCACTCAGAGAAAAATCACAATTAACATTTTAGCGTATTTTCTTTATATAAGTTTGTTTAATTCAGAGACCTGCCTCCTGGCTGTTCCTCAGTGCTGCAGACTGATGGGTTCGCCCTGTCCAGAATATGCAGTGGGTACAGACCCCACATTGCCTCTGACCAGTCTTCTCTCCTGAGCAAGTTATTTAAGCTCTCTAGCTCTCAGTAAAACAGAAATCCATTCGCTTAACTGACCTATTTTGAGGAGTACTATGTGCCAGGGCCCACTCTAGGTACCAAGCTCCTTCAGTTGAACAAAGAAGAGACACAGGTCTCTATCCTCATGCTGCTTGCATTCTAGGGGTGAGAGTGGAGCCCTTACTGCACCGTTAAGGAGACTGTGTTTGATACAGTGTCCAACACATAGTAGGTGCTCAAGAAATGGTGTGGCTGCCATCCTCCTCCTCTGCTGTGCCTGGGTCCACTTTGGATCTGCGGCAGAAGAGATTGACCCAAGACCTATATTAACCTCAGAACAGGTCCAAGGGGCTTTGTCCCTGGTGGGGAAGGGTGTAGCCAAGAGAAGACTTACTAGTGCATCATGAGGGAGTGTCAGAGAGGGGTGTCTGTTTCTAGACACGCTGCAGCAGGGCCCTGGCTGCAGGAAACCCTAAGAAGCCTGTGTTTTCCTCCCCAGGCCAGGAGGAGGGGGGCTGCCTACCCCGCCCACAGTGCCCCCAGGAATGCGCCTGCCTGGACACTGTGGTCCGATGCAGCAACAAGCACCTCCAGGCCCTGCCCAAGGGCGTCCCCAAGAATGTCACAGAACTGTGAGTAGCCGAGGCCTGGTGTCAGGAGGAGAAGGTGACCAAAAACAGATATTAGCTGACTAGCAGCTTGGAGTTAGGGCTTTGAAGGAGACACTGGTGCCAAGGAGGCTTTGAACTTCTCTTTGATTCACCTGACGGCGCGACTCACCCATGGCAAGTGCTTCATCCCTCTAAACTAAGCTCCGCCTTTAAAATAAGAAATAACATTATTTATTCCACTTCACATCATCTCATGAGCATTCTGCTCTGCAATGAAAACTCTCACGAAAGTTATTTTTATTGGCCACATAATATTCCACCACATGAATCTACTATGATCTACGTAACAAATCCCTTTGTTGGATAGTCTAGTTGTTCCCAATTTTTTACTATCCTAAAGAACACTGAGGTGCTTGTCCCTTCAGTGAGACTGCTGGTCAAAGAGCAGTGCATTGTTAGCACCCTGCCGCCTTTAGCCTGGTGGCCTCCCGGAGGAGTTGTGTCCTTTGTACTCCTATTAGCCTCGTGTGGAAATGGCCTGCCTGCCCTCCTATTGACACTGGGTGTCATGGTCTATAATCTTTGTTCATTTGGGTTTGGTACCTGAACTCATGTGGAGGTGTGGACTTACATGTGTATGACAGACAGAGGGATGGAGAGCTGGGCTTCTTTGACAGACACCTCCAAATGAAAGAGTTTGGTCAGTCCCCGACTCTTCCTGTCCCTTGGATTGGTCTCCTGCTCCCCATAGCCAAGCTTTTCTTTGTCCCGTGGGGAGCGCATGAGGTTTTCATTTTATTTCTTTCATTACCGGTGAGGTTGGCTATTTCTTCACGAGCCTATCAACCACTGCAGTCCTTGTCCTATGACTCGCCTACCGTGTCACCTGCTCATTTTTTTGTCGCAATGTTAGAGTCCCTGTTTTCTCCTTGGTGCCTCATAGCAACCCTCAGAATTATGGGACAGGCGGGACAGACTGTCTTCTTTGACTGAGGAGGCTGAAAGTTACCTGACTTCTCTAAGCCTCAGTTTCCTCAGCTGTAAAATGGGGCTACCTGCGTGTATCGAAGGGCTACTGAGAGGATCAAATGAGATGGGTGGGAAGTCACCTTGTACAGTGATGGGTCAGGTTGAGTACAGCCCTGATGCTGCTGCTCTCTGGATCTTTGGGGTGTGAAGGAGCTATCTTGAGGGCTCAAGTTGGTGGAGATCCTGTGCAGGGAGCCCAGCTGGGACTTTGGTTCCCAGTGTTTGGATTACTGCTTAGCAAGGATGGCTGGTGGGGGCGCGGGATGGGGAGAAGGGGAGGGCACGTTCACATCTTGAATACCAAGCTCTATCCTGTAGACATGGGGAGCCTGGGGAAGTTTTAGGAGAAATTTTGTTGGGCTTGGCTTTAAGGACAATGTCTTGGGTGGCAGTGTGTATAGTGGGTCCCAGAAGGAAGAACAGAGGAGGCTGCACAGGAACCCAGCCATGGGTGATGGTTTTCAGTCAGGGGTGATGTGAGAATGGGAGTGATGATGAGACATCAGTGGGTGGGCGAAGCCAGAGCTGGAGAATCACCATCAGGGCCCGGAGCCTGGGTGGTTAGGACATGGAATGTGATGCTGATGGAGTCAGGGGGAGCCAGTTTGGCAGTGAAAACAAAGAGCTCAGGTTTGGGCATGTTTGAGTCTGGGGCTTGCATGGGGTGGACCTCACACACCTTGCCGTCAGGCAGAGAGGAGGCCTGGTAGCTGGTGAGGGGCCTGGCAGGTGGTTCTAGAGGTATTAACATGCAAATTAGATCCATTTGGCCAGGAAAATTGCAGAGCAGAGAGGAAAGGGGAGGGGGCTCAGGATTCAGACCTGAGTAGAAAGTCTGACGGGGAGAAGGCTGAGAGGGCAAGGCAGGGCAGCAGGAAGGGAGCCAAGGGAGGCTTCATATCTCACCAAGATTTTTGGGTGGCACCTATCCAAATAGCCTAAGGAATTAATGCATTTTGTCCTCTGATTAGCAATTCTGGGCTGTTGTATGGTCTGCAGGTAGGAGGGAAATGAGTGAGAAGTCCCTGGCTGCAGAGGGAGGTTCTCACAGCGCGAGTACTGCCAGAGGCAGTGATGGTGCATTAACTATTGTGTTCTCACCTGTAGCTACCTGGACGGGAACCAATTCACCCTGGTTCCGGGACAGCTGTCCACCTTCAAGTACCTGCAGCTTGTGTGAGTATCCAGGCGGCTCGAGGATCCCAGACTAGCCTCAGAGGACGGGAGGGCCATTGGCATCTGACTGTTGTGGCTCAAGCTTTCTAGAAATTCTCCACTTAAGGCTGATCCTGGTGTTGTTTTTTTGTTTGTTTGTTTTGTGTTTTTTAATTTCACCCTTTCCCTCTGAGAACATTTGTGCATAGAGCTGTCTTGCCACCTAGTGGCCATGCTTATGAATTGCATTGTTTCAGGCTCCCTTGGGCTGGCCCCTGCTTCTGCCCACCCCATGTCCCCAAGCCTCCCTCTAGGTTGACAGTTGTTAATGCGGTCAGCCTTGCAAAAGTTGGATGGCAAATTAGTCCAGCTTTTGCCTCAAAACCAAATAGGAAATGAAGAAGTTTCTCTTTAGGCTAACATCTGCTTTTCTGTTAGTTCCCGCCTTTGACCCTTTCCATCTCATGAGCATGTACGAAATACGCCTCAGAATACGTTCAACTCCTCTTATCCCTCCAGCCTAATGAACACCTCACTTCAGTTGTCTTTATCTGCTCATTGGCCAGATTCAACCAAAAAGAGATCCGGAGACTATTCCATCTTAGTGTGGCTTGGAGCAGCACTACTCTAAGTGTGGTCTGTGGACCAGCGGCAGCCTCAGAACTGTTTGTGATGGGTCTACAGTTAGATAAGAAACTTATGCCAGAATGCAAATCAACATGACGGCTTCCTTCACTGAGAAAGCGTTGCTATGAAAAAAAAATGCTTAGCTACAGTAAGTTGTGTGTGTTTAGTGTCATAGGTGATTGCATTTTGGCACAAGTCCCTTGTGGTGGCAAGTTCAGTTCAGGGACTGGCTACTTTGAGCAGCACTGGCTTACAGAATTTTGAAGCTCCAGTTTATCTATCTTTGCTAGTAATCTAGTAAATGTGTTTTGACTGTTCCAGTGTGTGTGTGTGTGTGTGTGTGTGTGTTGTGGGTGTGTGAGTTGGTGGCTGGTGACAGAGTGCCAGAGACAGAGACAACCTTTCTTTGGTCTGATGTGAGGCAGTGCCACTATTGGTGGCTGGTGACAGCGTGCCAGAGACAGAGACCACCTTTCTTTGGTCTGATGTGAGGCAGTGCCACTAGCGGCTCAGATGCACTTGAGAGGGAAAGGGGGACCAGAGGGCTAATGCCGGGCCACTTCTTACTATGAAACCTTCGGGTGGGGGATTTTGTCTTTTTCAGGGACCTAAGTAACAACAAGATCAGCTCCTTAAGCAATTCCTCCTTCACCAACATGAGCCAGCTGACCACGCTGTGAGTCCCAGTGGGGGGAAGTAAGGGAGGGCACGTGCTGTGGCCGATGAGACTTTCCCCAAGCCCTGGTCCCTGACAAGTATCACATGCAGACTTCCTCACCTGACAGGAAATTCACCAGGGCCTGCCAGCTGAAAAGACTTTTAAAAAACATTTTTTTTTTAATTGTGAAATATAGCATAATATATGGAAAAGTGCAAAAAATATAAATGTACAGTTTAACAAATAATCATAAAGGTAGCACACATGCGTAGATACCTAAGGCAAAGAATTGGAGCACAGATAGTGCCCCCAAAGTCCCCCGTCTCTTCTTGATCCTTATTCCTTCCTCTCCCATCAGAGGCAGCCCCTACCCTCACTTTTATGATCACTTCTTCGGCCTTTATAGTGTTGCCGTCTACAAATACATTTTTACACAATGAAGTTTAATTTTTCCTGTTTTTTCTTTTTAACCTTATATAAATTGCATCATACAGAATATATTCTTTTATATCTGGCTCCTTTTATTTACCATGATGTTTGTGAGATGCACTCATGTTGTGTAAAGCTGTGTTCTGTTCATTCACTGCTGTATAATATTCCTTGTAGGAATGTGCCATGCTTACCTGATCCATTCTACTGTTGATGGATTCGGGTTTTTTTTTTTCCAGTTTGGACTATTGTAAACAATGACCCTCTGAACACCTTTGTTCCCATATTCTAAGATATTTTAATGATTGCTTTAATGATACTCCAAGAAAGCATTAACGAGCATTCCTTGTATTTCCTGGAGCTTAAGAGTGTATGTCTCACTCGCCTTCCCAACACCTCATTTTACAGATAATGTGCCAAGAACTTCAGAATTTTTCCTTAGGTTCTACTGCAGTCAGAAAATGGGGTCCTGAACCAGTCAGCCCCCAGGAGCAGAATGTGGGCCTGACGCCTTAAAGTGCAGGTTCCACCCACCTGCACTTATCTGCCCCAGAGTCTACTGGTCAGTGGGTTCCTGCTTCAGAGTCTTCATGAGCCTGTGTGAAGCTGCCACAGTCTAGGCAGTAGTTCTCAACCAGGGGCAATTCTGCCCTCCAGGGGACACTTGGCGATCTCTGAAACATTTTTAGTTGTCCTAGCTAGAGGAGGGCAGAGGGAACTACCAATTTCTGGTACACAGAGGCCAGGGAAACTGTTAAACATCCTACAGTGCACAGGACAGACCCCCAACAAAGAACTGTCAACAGCGCAGAGGCTGAGAAATCCTGGTCTAAGCGAACCTGGCAGCTGCAGGGGAAACAGCCCCTTTCCGTGACAGAAGCATCTCCTTTCTCTTGTTATCATTTTTAAAATAGCTTTAGTGTGGTACAATTAACGTACAATAAACTGCACATACTTAACATCTACAATTTTGATATGTTTGACTTATGTTCACACCGTGGAGCCATCACCATAATCAAGATAGTGACCACTTCCATCATCCCCAGAAGTTTCCTTGCGCCCCTTGATAATTCCCGCCCCAGCCCCGCAACCCCAGGCAGCCACCAGTCTGCCCCCGTCCTTCCTTCCTTCCCGCAGGATCCTCAGCTACAACGCCCTGCAGTGCATCCCTCCTCTGGCCTTCCAGGGGCTGCGCTCCCTGCGGCTGCTGTAAGTCTCCACTCTTCTTTCCTGCAGGGTAATCTGCCCCTCTGAGGGCCCTGACACCCACCTGCTGGGCTACAGTGTCCCCACGTCTGGGACCCCGGCAGGGCCAACTGTGTTCAAAGGGGGGAGGCCAGTCCACTCTCATTCAAGCCCCTAACTGAGGCTGAGGAGCGAATGGGAAACTAGCTGATAAATGGGGCTTGCCGTCTGCCCCGAGTTGTGTTTGCAGTGTGGGTGGTGGGGAGGGGGCATCCAAGGTAAGGTAGCCCCTCATTTGCATGTGAATCTCCAGTTCAGATGGCGAGTGTTGCAAGAGACTAAAAATCCTTTTCTAAAAATTCCCACTGCAAGGTTTTTGCCCTGTGATCAAAGCCCTCTGTCACGCCTGTTATGATGGCCCCTTGTGTATCCATGCATGAATTCTCTGACAGCAATCTCCAGCCTGCCCCCCCGCAAGGTGACATTTTTTATCCCCAAACTATGGCTTGTGCATTAATTTCCTTACCAAGGAGAAGCCTACATCTCAGGCTCCCGGCTTCACATGTTTCATATTTGTCACGTAAATGGAGATAGCGCTTGAGTTCATTACAACAGCAAAAAACAGAGCCCTCCAGGAGGGCTGAGGGGCAGTGTGGGCTGCTTGGATCATTAAGGGCTCCCTCTCCGCTGCCTGTGGCCAGTGGGGCAGGGTCTGTCTCTGAGTCGGGGGCCACCCCACCCACAGCACTGATGGAGGCATCTGAAGGGTAGGCGCAACGCCCATCTTCACAGAGGGCCATGCGTGTGCCTCCCTCAGTTCTTACTTCTCTGCACGGGGCACCAACAGCCTCTTCTCTCCGCAGGTCCCTGCATGGCAATGACATCGCCACCCTTCCAGAGGGCATCTTCGCAGACGTGACCTCCTTGTCTCACCTGTAAGTAACTCTGCCCCATTCTTTGAATTTAAACAGAATTTGGATTCCAAGAAAGAGGATCCCACCTCCTGAGACTATCAGAGTTTGCTGCTTTGACCCTAAAACTAATTTAGTTTGTGAACTTCAAGTGTTCTTCCCCAGACTTGTACACATCCAAGGTTTCCTCAGTCGCAACAATGGAATTTAAAACAATTCTTCACAGGCAGTAGTAAAAGTAATAATGGCCATTTATTGGTTGCTAAGCACTTTGCCTTCATGAGCTAATTTAATTCTCACAGTAATCCTACAATATAGCTTCTGTTGCTCCCATTTTACATGTGAGGAAACAGGCCCAGAAAATGTGAGAAACTCACCCAAAGTTCCATAGCTGGTAAGGGCTGAGTCTGCCGTCTTGAAAGCACATGCTCTTAAGGACATCAGCATTGTGCCTCTGACTTCACATGGTGAGGAGTAAGCTCCAGAAATTTACTGCCCCCAAGAAGTGTATAATTGAATGTAGAATCACATCCAAAACCATTTAGCTGGCAGCGCCATGAGAATCTTTAAAAAGCAGTGCACACGATTCTTCAGAAAACTAAACCTAGAATTACCATATGATCCAACAATTCCATTCCTAAGTATATACCCAAAAGACTTGAAAGCAGGGACTCAAACAGATATTTGTACACCCATGTTCATAGCAGCATTATTCACACAATTGCCAAAAAACAAAAACAACCCAAGTGTCCATCGGCAGATGGATGGATAAACAAAATGTGGTGTGTATATATATAAAATATCCCATTGTATGAATATATATATACGCACACACATACAATAGGATATTATTCAGCCTTAAAAAAGAATGAAGTTCTGACACACGCTACAACATAGATGAACCTTGAAGACATGCAAAGAGAAATAACTCAGACATAAAAGGACAAATATTGCATGATTCCACTTATACGAGGTATCCAGAATAGTACAATTCATACCTACAAAAAGGAGAATGGTGGTTGCCAGGTGAGATGGGTAATGGAGAATTTTTGTTGAATGGTAGAGTTTCTGTTTAGGGTGATGAAAAGGTTTTGGAACTAGATAGTGGTGATAGGTGCTCAACGTTGTGAATGTAATTGATGCCACTGGATTGTACACTTAAGATGGTCCAAATGGCAAATTTTACGTTATATGTATTTTACCACAACAAAAGTGAAGAAATGAAAAAAACAGTGGGCTAATTCTGGAGGTGGGGCCAGGTGCAGTGCATTCTCTCCTCGAGCCTCAGCTACAGGGCAAGGCAGTGTTCAGGCCATGTGCCCTGAAGCTGGGACCCTGGGTGTCACCACATGCTCTTGTTCTCTGCCCCACACCCAAGGGCCCAGGGCCTGAGTGGGCAGGCCCACCCCGGTCAGAGAGTCTTTTGGGGTCCCCAGCAGCTCCACTTGAAGTTCATTCATTCAACAATCTCACTGGATTTACTCAGTTCTAAGACTTACCTTTTCCACATTTGAATCTCTGAAATTAGAAGGCATATAACAAATGATCTGTATATTTAGTATAGAAATATTTCTCCACCCCTCCTAAAGCATGGGAAAACGATGGTGCATCTAACAATCTTAGACTTGAAGAAATAATATAGCAACAAGTGCCGTTCATGGAGGATCTGCTTGGGACAAATACTTTGCTACATGTGAACACTTTATCTGTGGCGCCTCATTTACTCCATGACCAAAATGAGAATTTGATATTGTGCTGTGCGCTAGCTGAACAGATTTGACAGGAGCTGTCTCGAGCCTACATTGAAGATTCCAGGGCCAGTGTGTACTCAGTGGGGAGAGTGCAATGACCAATTAGCGACATCTGCCTCGGGAGTGGAAGGGGTGAGGGCTCTGTCCTAGGTGGTAGGGTTTATTATTTCCATTTTTCAGTCCCAGTTTCTGAAAAGCTAAGCAGCTTCCCTAGGTCATAAAGGTAAGAAATGACAAAGACAGGATTTGAGCTTAGGTGTGTCTGATTCCAAAGCTCTTTATTTATTCTTTATTGCCTCAATAAATATGTCCTAAGTAACCACAGTGAGTCAAGTGCTGAAGAATTTGCTAACACAAGGTTTCTGCCCTCTGTGACCATCTGGGATATTATAAAATGAATTCAAAGGCAGCAGCTACTAACTCTGGAGAACTCTGAGGAGCAACACAGAGGAGGTGCCATTTGTGTTGCCATTAGAAAAGGACAAGGAATTTGCCATTTGGAAAAGATGGGGAAAGGCATTCTAGGAAGAGGGAACAGAGTGTGCAAAGGTGTAGAGGCAAGAAAGTAAATGACGTATTCAAGGATGCTATGCTGTCCAGTATAGGATATAGGGGATTTGGTTGGGTGGAGGAGTGTGAGGTGGGAAGAGATCAGTCTGGAAATGGACACTGGAATTCCATTGCGAAGGGCCTTTATTCTATAGATAGAAGAGAACTGTGGAGAAATTAAACTGTAGAACACTCCTGGAAAGCCGTGGTGCTATGTGGAGGCTAGACAGGATGCGATGAGGCAGGAGGGAGCCTGGCTGGAGATGGTGCCTCTGGAAAAAGGCAAGACAGGGACAGTGCTGTTCATTGCTCCTGGCGACTTCCATTCACAGGAGCTTGTTTCCATCTGTGTTTGGTGATTTTTGGGTTGTGAGCGCATTTTTTCTTTGCTGACGTTAGAAGTTCTTGGGACCCAAAGTAGAGATGCTTCTCTCCAGAGAGCGTCTGTGCTCGTCTACGTTTGATGCTCAGTCTTGCTACTGTTCTGAGCCCATGCGGCCTCCTTTGCTTACCCCTAGGCTGTGCCAAGTGTCTGCTTCAGCTCTCTACTTTGCCGGGCAAGGCCTTTTGAAGCATCTGGTCCGACATTCCCACTTTTGGATTCCTCTTTTGTGTATCTCTTAGGCTTGGGTTTAAATATACAGTTGACTACCTGCACTTCTTCCCCATGAAAACTGAACAATATCCAAGTGCTTTTTGACCTTGTCTCTCACTCAAAATCTAGAGGCTTTGTTTTTCAAATGAGAGATGAAAAAATAACATATGTTTTGGACAAACTAAAAATCAAAGCTGCAAAAACAAATTTTGAACCCACACCTATCTACGAATTCAGTCTTTCTGAGAAGAACAGTAACATCAGGCCAGAAGCCAGATCCAATTTGTAAGAAATAAACCAATAAGTAAAGATTAAGCGGTAATCGTAGAACAGGGCATGGGCATTACTGATTAGATGTGTTTGTTAATTACATCTAAGCCCCATCTGACTACAAGATGTCTATGTGAAAGAAATCTTCCATTATTATGAAGCAACCTTGTGAACAAACTCTGTCCTTTAGGCTCAGTTTTAAAGGGAACGAGGCAGTAGCCTGGGAAATGGACACACACTTGTATTCATTCAGGTGTGTGAACATGCAATACTGATGAAATGCATGTGTATGTGCACACACGTATTCCCTAAGGATTTCTGAGCACGTACAAGGTGTCAATATGGATTCACCGTATTCACTTGGGGCTTCACAAAGGCCACATGCAGTCCAAAGGGAGGGGTGCACTTGTGGTTCTGTTGCACGTTAGGGGTTGCCCAAGAATTAGCATCTAGTGTTCCTGTTTCGTTTCCTGGAGATGCCCTCTGTTCTTACTGTGCCTCTGACCTGGATCTCTTTTCCTTACTGGCAGTGTGCAAGAGGGGTAGATGGGCCAAGGGCACAGTTAAGAGTGAGGTCTGCCATTTTAAACCCCTTGAACTCTAGATTAGGAATCAGGACATGGGGCATTAGATCCTTGTTCTCACCTGTACAAAGGTTATTTCTAATGTCCGTTGTGGTTCTAAAATGCCATAACGATTGTGAGCACTCATCACTGCTCTGGGCTTCAATACCCTGCATATCTGTCTGCTGCTGTTTACTTTTACATTTACTTTGCAGTTAGCTTATCTGTCATCCGTTTGACTGTCCATCCATCCATCTATCCATCCATCCATCCGTAAATGTTTACTGTGCACCAGATCCTGTGCCAAGTTCTCCGACATCATTCTTCATTTCTATAGTCTGGCATTTTGTTGCCTCTAATCTGCTGCACCCTGGAAAGCTAGATTTCTGAATTGATTAAGGATTCGGTGTAAAAAGTAAATACGGAATGAGTAAGTAAATCATGCCCATATGACAGAACAGCAAGTAGTTGATTATGACAATTAAGGCACTGTAATTTATTCGATGAAAATACAGAATAAAGAAGATGGTACACTCTGATTTCAAAGATGTATATATATGAACACAAGAACTGGAAGGGAATGCATGATAATTTAGTTACGTTTTATGGGGTGATAGTTGATTCTTCTCTTTTTGAATTTCCTTTGCTTTCATATTGAGGTTTCCATTTCTCGTGCTTTGGGGCAGACATTCATTCATTCAGCAAACGTTTCCAGTTGCCCATCACTGTCAGGCCCAGCGGGAGATTTTGTGGTTCCTACTCTCAAGAAGCTTCAGTCCGCTAGGAGGAGACAGTGATGCAATGAATAAATTGCCTGGGAGGAGGATGGGCAGAGGAGGTATAGCTCAGGCGAAGGAGGTTTTGAAGTTTTAGTATATGCTAAACTCTACAGTTGGCACCTCTGTGAAATAGCCACAGGAAAGCTATTTGGTCCCAGTTACATTAATAGAAGCTCGGCAGAGTCTTGGCACGAACACACCTAATATCTACTGTTTCACCGAAGGTCAACAACACTGAGTTATTTATACTTGTGATGGGGACTGAATCTATAGTCCTTTTGGTCTGACAAGTGGCCTGGCTACTGTCCCCACCACGGCACCTGTGGCTCTCCACTCTCCCACAGGAGTTTTTGTTGGAAAAATGGTCCCCAGGTGAACGTGAACTACTAGTACTACTGAAATAGCCACAAGAACTCGGCCTTTGGATAAATTAAAGTTTGAAATATTGAGTTCGGGTGTGGCTCAGAGTCTGCTCTACATAGAAACAAGGAAAACATAACGGTCAAGCCAGAATTTAAGAGTTTTGAATAGCTTTTTATTGGCTTTGGTAGTTTTCATTATTCTTTATTCTTTTTTATATTAAGAGTCGGAAGGAGACACTTATATTTGAGGTGCAACTTTGCTGCCATTTATGGGCGAATATATGTAGGATTTGGGAATTGGGATAGTCCTACAACACGTCAAGGGCCTCCACATTCACAATGGCCACAGATTTAGTTTTTTTGGCGTTTTCTGTAGGTGAGCTACAGGACTGAAAAAAGCAGCCATTCTCATAATAAACTTTAAACTTGGGCTCATTACCAGACCACACTCCTGCAGTATACTACAAAAAATATTTTAAAATAAATTCTGTATTTATTATATGAATAACATAATTATAGTAACTCGCACTTTATTATTATTATTATTATTTTAACACACTGAGCTTTAAAGGTACAAAGCATCTGACTCCCTTTACCTGTGAGAAACCCTGGTTCTCTTCAGTGGCAAAAGGAAAGTGTCTCCTGTCCCATTAGCCAGGATGGGTGCTGTCAGCAAATCAGGACAGAAAAATTTTAAATACGTGTCGAGGTTGGACTGGCTTTCTTTTCCAAGCCGAATTATTCCCTCAGCGCCCATTTTAGGTTAAATGTGCTTGTCTCCCTCTCTTCACCCCAGATTGCAGGCTCTTCATTGAGTCATAAAGTGAGCCCCGGAGATGTAAAGTGAGCCGCTAAGAGTCGCCGGGGCAGTGAGCAGCTGCACTGAGGCCAGAGTCCAAGTCTTGCTCAGCCTGCTTTATAAGATCGCACAGTCATCAGCTGTGCTATTTTTAGGAATTCCTGCTCAGAGTTGCTGCTGCTTTCGTCAGACTGCACACATCTCAAGGGGAACCACTTCCTCTGTATGGTCCAGAAACAGGTGGAAAATGGCAGTGCATCCACGGGTTTCTTAACGAATGTGCTCATTCTCATGTACCTTAAACGGCCTTACATTTTCAAAATAATGCTATTCAGAATAATATAAAAGAAGGTCAGGCACAAGGCTCTGACTCTTCTATTTGCTGGATCAATGAACTCTGCCCACTTCATGCCCTCGAATCCATGTCTTGTTCATCTCTCAGTCTCTCACTGTGGTTTAGGAGATTATGAGCTTGTGTGTTAGATTGGTAAAGCATTAAGAGGCTGGATGCACAGTGCTGGGGTGGGTATGTGAGGGAGCAGGCGTGGCCTTACACTGCTGGCGAGTGTAAGTCCATACGACCTTTTTTGGACGGCAGCTGTTCACATTTTTTTCCATGTGCTTCCTCTACAACCTGAACCCCACTTCTAGGTGTCTGTTCTAGAGAAATGCCCACACCTCACAAAGAGGCATGTACAAGAATGTTGACTGCCATTGCAAATGAGCGGACTGTCTGGCGACAGGGAAATTGCTCGGTAACCTATGAGGCACCCATTCTTTGGGGTGCCATGGAGCAGTTTGACAAAGTGAGGTGGATCCACATATGCTGCTCTGGAAAGATCTCTAAGACAGGCTGTTTAGTGACAAAAAGCAAGCTGCTCAGTAATGATGTGTGGTGGATGGACTTGATTCGTGGGGAAGAAACATACGTGTAAATATGGGGAAAGACTGGAAGGCCACACACCGAAGTGTGGTGACTATGTCCTTCTGTGGTTGGCAGTTGCATGAGTGTCGGCTTTTTCTTTGTAGCATGTTTGCATTGTAATTTATTTAACCCCTCCCCATGGATGAACACTGGGGGCTTCCAGTGTTCTGATGACAAACCATGCTGCCATCAGTATGATCGCACGGATGTCTTTATGCACTTCTGCAGGTATATCTGTGAGATAAACTCCCGGAAATGGAATGGCTGGGTCAAAAGCAACTGCACTGGTAATTTGATAGAAGCCATAAAATTCCCCTCCATCGGCGTTATTCCATTCTGCGTTCCCATCAGTGACATAGGAATGTACCTTTAAAAAAAATCGAGGTAGAATTCACGTAATGTAAAATGAACCATTCTTATGTGTACCATTCGGTGGCATTTAGTACCTTCGCAATGTCGTGTGAGGGGAAAACCTTGGTCTGCAATGTTTGAAAGTGCTTTACGATGAGAATGCATTTATGTGCTCCTCGTTTAATTAAAAGTGAAAAAGAAAAATTAGAGGGTAGAGCTTCCGAGTCAGACAGCTCTGGGTCTGGATCCAGGGACAGGCCTTCACTAGTTGTGTGACCTCAAGGAAATTACTTATTCTACATGGGGCTCAGTTTCCACATCTTTGAGACAGAAAGAAAAAAAACTTACACTGTGGAGCTAGTGAGAGGGTTAGATGCATTTCCGTGGGAAAAGCAGCTGGTCCATCGCAGAGGTGAGGTGTTGGTTCCTTTCTCCCCTGTGCATTCTGGAGGTAATGAATTCAGAGGCTCTGGCCTCAACAGCACGAGTTCAAATCCCACCTACCCCCTTTTTCTGTGCCATCCTAGGCAAACGCTTTCATCTTTTTGAGCCTCAGTTTCAATGTGTAAAATGGGGATAGAAGGGTGTGGTGAGGACCAAGTAAGGTAACACATATGAAGGGCTTGAAACTGTGCTTGAAACCACAGTACACGCTCTTGAAATGGGGCTGTTAGGATTTTTGCCAGCCCCTGGCCTAGTGGCCTGCACCCTAGGTGCCCAGCGGTGAAGGACCCCATGAAGCTGTAATGCCTGCTTCTCTCTGTTCTCTGACCCAGGGCCATTGGTGCCAATCCTCTGTACTGTGACTGCCACCTCCGCTGGCTGTCCAGCTGGGTGAAGACAGGTTACAAGGAGCCAGGTATTGCCCGCTGTGCTGGGCCCCCAGACATGGAGGGCAAGCTGCTCCTTACCACGCCTGCCAAGAAGTTTGAATGCCAAGGTGAGCCCAAGAGCGTGAGAAAGGGGTGGCGGTTACTGGGTTTCGTCCCCACGTCCCACTGTTGGTGGCCACAAGACCTGCCCAACCCTGGCTGGGCCTTCCAGATGCTCCTGTGTCCCTGTGGTGACCAGCTGGGTGGGAGGGTCAGGTGCAGGAATGAGGCACCTGTGGCTTGTTAGCATGGCTGCCTTCTCATCTTGACATAACATGAATGAAAAAAGGCAGGCAGAAAATCTCAGGCTATAAGTAAGGGCTTTAATCCTTCCCTGGGGTTATATAAGGAAAATAAAAATAGCAGCAGCATTGCTGGAAGCCCCGAGCCTCTCAGCAGTGTAAGCACTCAGGCCTCCCTTTGGTGGAATTGTGCTCAGCAATTAGCTTAAATCCCTGAGCCACTGGACGCAGCTGCAACTCTCCTGACATTTGCAGAAATACAGGGCCTGAGCGTAATCGGAGGTTTGTAGTTTGCTCTGAAGGCAGCTCACCCTGGACATCTATAAATGCTTGTTCCGGGATTGATTGATTGACTGACTGACGGCCCAAACCCCAGGAGCCCTGCTGAGCAGAGGGAGGTGTCTGAGTGGCTGCCCCAGGCCCAGCTTTGTGTGCTGGGGGACAGCCGGAGGAGTGCGCTGGAGGCTGTGGGGCACGGCCTCTGCCCTCTACAAGCTCATACACCACCATCAGAAATGAAACTGACAGCCACAGGTTAATGAGGAGGCCCTGGGCCACCCGGGTGCATGATCCTGTCACAGGGACAATAGTTCAGAGGGGCCCAATCTGTGGCTTGGCTATTGGCTGTTGGCTATTTCAACAATTTAGGTTGAAACATTTGCTCAGGATTTATTTAATCAGATGAGATTGGTACCGGTGAGAAGTTTTTGTTTTTGTTTTTTAACTTTTTATTAAAATACAACGCACATAACAGAAAAGTACACTGATCGTAAGCGAATGACTCTGAATTTTCACAAACCGAACATACCCAAGTAACCAGCACCCGGATCAAGAAGCAGAATTCCACCTGTACCCAAGAAATCCCCTCACACTTCATTTCAGTTATTACCAAAAAGTGTTTCTGTTTCTATTCATACTCATGCCTCTTCAGCAGAACCGATATTTCTCCACTTAAGGAGTCTTAAGAGGAAAACTGAGTTAGCTGGCTGTTCTCACTGTTTATTCTTGTGAGGCCCGAATGTCCCCCACAGGAGGTGCCTAGGGAGCTTAGCTGCCAGCTCCTTGTCCACCTCCAAGTTCAGGGAAGGGCCACCAGTGAGTCCTGGAGGGGCTGGAGAAGGTCATGCTCATAGCTGGAGAGGCGACAGGACAGGGTCCTTCCCCGTTCAACCTTGGAGAGAAACAACTTCAAGGCCAATGGATATTTTCCTCCTAAGTGTGGCCTCCTCACAGAGCTGAGTCTTCTCTCTGCCAAGGTGGCCACCCGAGTCATCCTGATCAGCAGATGACACGGCTGGGGGTAGTTGCCTCAGAAGGGTGTGAGGGGATCAGAAAAGGTCAGCTGACTTAAGCGCTCTCACACCGATGGCCTCGCCCTGACTGCCATGTGGAAGGCTCCTGATGTGTCCAGCTCCAGCCCATTAAGCACTTTTTGCAGATTAGCAAATTTATAGTCCCTACAGCTCCATGGGGCAGGGACTGTTATGAACCCCATTTTACAGAGTAGGTTCTGGAGGGTGCAGAGGGGGACTGTGAAAGGAGGGTGAACATGACCCAGAGGAAATACAGGGAGCGGCAAAGGAGTCCTTGGGGAGAGAGCTTCCCACCACCTGTTTCTCAAGAGCTGGGACGCTGGGGGTGGCGAGGTAAGGGGCTCCTTACGCAGCACCCTCCTCCTTACACTAACACCCCCACTTGCCTCAGGTCCCCCCACCCTGGCTGTTCAGGCCAAGTGTGATCCCTGCTTGTCCAGCCCGTGCCAAAACCAGGGCACCTGTCATAATGACCCCCTCGAGGTGTACAGGTGTGCCTGCCCCAGTGGCTATAAGGTGAGTGGAGGCTGAGATGGGGGGGAGAAGGGCTGCTTGAGTGTGCGGTAGGCCAGGGCGGAGTCTGTCTCGTTCCCCACTCTGCCCGCAGTGCCTGAGAGCAGGGCCTGGCCCAGAGCAGGCGGTTGAGTGAATGTTTAATCAATGACCCAGCATATGAATGAATGAGCAAAGAACACCTGGGACAGACAAGCCAAACTACTGAGGGGGCTGGCTGTCTGTTGGCTCACACTAACCCCTGGGTCTCCCTGGGGTCCCTATCACTCGGTCTGTAGGGCCGAGACTGTGAGGTGTCCCTAGACAGCTGTTCCAGTGGCCCCTGTGGAAACGGCGGGACCTGCCACACACAAGAAGGCGAAGATGCCGGCTTCACGTGAGTTGCCTGGAGGGGCTGGCATCTGAGGGGCGGGGTGCTGATGGAGGCCGGCACCCAAGCCTCAGTGCCCTCCTCCTCCAAATGGATGGTCAGCAGCACCACCACCACCCTGCCTCGTGCTCTGGGGGGAGTTGGGGGATGGGCTCAGAGGCAGCAGACGGTCCCCAAAGGCCTCTCCACACCCACTCACGCCGAGCCCCTGTTGTCCAGGGGCAGTGAAAGCAGAGTGATTAGGGGGAGCCAGTCGCTCGGCAGGCAGGGTGGGGCTGGGGCTTGGAGCTGAGCCGCCCACTCCTGCCCCTCTTTCTACTCTTGCCAGGTGCCACGAGGGTCTTTTGATGGCACTCAGACTCCATGGCCAAGGGCATGTGCAGTGGCAGTGACAAGGGGCATTTTGGGGGCATTTTAAACCCTTATAACCTCCACTAACCTGAGGCCTCTAATGGAAGCCAAATGTCTGTTCATTGTGCCAGTGCTACCGGCAGGCAGGGCCCTTAGCCAGCTCCTTCCTGTCAAGCCACCTCCCAAATCCCTCCATACAAGGGTGGGGAGGCCTACCCAGAGGTGGGAACAAGTCCTGGTCACATCCTCCGCGGCCTTTTCCCCCACCGCCCACCCTGGCCCCACCCCCATCATCTCGTGGGTCACCCTGGTCACACAGGGGCAGCCGGTCTCCCACTGCTCAGTGAAGGGCTGGCCCTTACGACGCGTCACTCAAGTCCTCCCAGTGTGGACATCACCATCACCTCCCAGTGTGGACATCATCACCTCCCAGTGTGGACACCCCACACTGACCCTCCTTCCCCCAGGACCCCTCAACGAGCCCCCCAATTCTCAGAGCTATCCCAGGTCCAGAGCTTTTCTGAGAAATACTTGGTATTTAGTTGCTGAAAATAAATTGCCAAACTGGCTCTTCAGAAAATGATGTTACACCTCCTGGCAGAAATGGCCAAACCTGTCTTTGTAAACCCAAATTACCAGGTATTAGAAAAGAAACACTAAATGGCTTCCCAGCCCATTGTCACCTTGGAAACGGTGTCCTTACGATAGGCTTTGTCTTCCTCCGGGCTTGGGCAGCAGCTCCATTAAAGCTCCCTGCTCATTCCCTGGAGTCCTTGGCCGGGGGACCTGTCTGTGGAGAGTTGGGGGCTGAGAGGACACCCCCAGAAACTCCCACTGCTGGGCAGAGAAGGGGTACAGCTGGGGGCAGCCCCTTTCATATTTTGCAGCCATACAAGTTGGGGGCCATCAGGTGGGCTCTATATGTAGAAAAGGGGTGGGCGCCTTCCTGAGTTACCCCTCAAGATTACCCCTGAGGCTTGAAAGGGCCTCCTCAGTTATTCCCCCCAATCTCCTAGGACTTTCTGAAATACAAAGCTAATCTTGAGCCTGCTTGAGCCCCCTCTGCTGTCCCCCACCAGTCTACATGGGGGAAAATTAAACTCTAGGACATACCCCACAACGGTGGGCTTCAGACCTTTTTGCTCCTATACCACCCCCCGCCAAACAAAATGTTAAAACTACATACCCGCTCACACATTCTTAGAGTGACGGAATTTTTCATTGTAAGTTTAATTTTTTGTTGCAAAGAAGGTAATTGTCGAGATATTGTAAATATTATTAACATTTAAAAATAAAATTATCACTCTTTTATCATTCTCAATGGAATCTGAATAGCACAGCAAATTGATACCGTTTAAAAATTACATGAACAAGCTCCTCTTTCACAATTGGAACATTTACCTTATTCTTTTTTCTTCTTGAACTAGTATTTCGATTTTACTCCCGTACTCCCCACCCCATTTTCCAGATAACGTAATGTTTTCATGCTAGTCTTTTCTTGAGTACCCTGCTGTATTTCTCTGCCACCAATATGGTTATATAAATTTAAAGTTTTTTTCTTATTTTTTGTGACCATAAGCCTCTGATTAAAAGTTTCTTTTGTACTGAGTTATCATTATAATTATCAATAATATACACTCGATCAGAACATTATTGTTACAAAATTTGATTGATAATTAGTACACATAAAAGCAAAATTTTATTAGACCATCTCTTAATGAGATAGAGCTTTTTTTTTTCTTCTCTTAGTTGGTTCATGTGTCCACGAGCAAATCTTACAGAATGAGAGGATTCGGCAGCCTACATATATATGAATACATATACATAGCTATAAATGCTGAAAAAGTTTGTTCACATAAATAAACTGATAGAATTAGGAGTATTGCCATACCATTGAAGTCTTTGAAACTCTTTTGAGTTTATGTGCCAAAAACTCCAGAGTGATCTGTCATCAAAAATTATTTTTAATGCTCTATCAGCTGACCATTTCATGAAGTCTTCCTTCAATTATTTTTAACACAGGGAACTGGAAACCTCTTGACTCGCAAAAAACATTTTTTCATTCACTTTCCAAAGATCAATATTCGTTATTGTCCCTTTCTTTGGGTCTGAGGATTTTAGGCCCCAGGTATGTCCCAGCTTGGACTTGGGCTGGAGAGGTGTGTGTGCCTTTCTGGAGTTCTGGGGCAGGTCGATCTAGAGAAGAGTTTGCAGAACTTGATCTGGAAATTAATTTCTCAGTCCTCCCTGACTCACATACCCCTTGGAAAACCCCAGGTGCCCCAGGGTAAGGTGTGCCTGGTTTGAAAATCACTGATCTCCAGGGCCCTCCACAAGCTGCCCTTGTTTACCCCCCAGCCCCATTCTCACCTGATCCCTGAAGTCAGTGCTCCCAAAGGCCTGGACTATCTGGATGAGTAGGACACCTCCTCCCAGAGGACTCCATCCACAGGTCCCCTCCAGGCTTTTGCCCATGCCTCTGCCCCCACTGTCTTACCTCCCCTTCATGCTCTCCTCTGTGAGGGTCCTTGACTCACTCATCACCTC